TAAATGTGGGTTTTAATACGCGTGTCCTCATCGAGGCTTCTTGTTGCTGTACAAGACGGGGTAGATATTAGCATCTTATTTCTTACATTACATAACTTTACCTTTTGGTTGGAGGAAAATAACATTTGGTGCATTTACAGACTTGACTTTTTAGTTTCACTCCACCTCACGATTCTTATAGATGATAGCAACAAAGTTTAGTCACTGGTGAGAAAATAAAATGATCTAAATGCAGTTTAGCAGCAAGTACAGCATTTAATCAGCTGATATGATCAAGATAAGAACACTTTAATCATGTTTTTTCCCTCATTGCAACATTATTTTCGACATTTTTCACCTAATTGAGGTCACGTGACGGCTCGTTGCCCTTTAAAATGTTGTGATGGACCTGACTGTACACTAAGAGCACTTGATTTAACACTTCCACTGTTTACACGTTCATGTTTCAATAATAATGGCCTCGTAACATAATGATGGTTCACAGAAGGAGCTCATTCTAACGAACACATACTTTGACTTTTGATACTTTGAGTACTGAAATGACTTCTCTTCCTTAAAGGGAAAATTCGCCTATTTACTTTTTTGTTTTGTGGATAATAAGAATAATTTCACAGTCTCTGCTATATAGAGAAAGCTCAGCTCTCCTGCTGTGCCTACATGTACCAGGATGCATTGCGCCTGAGCTGCAATTTTGCTACGGTTGCTAAACAAACACAATAAACTAAATTAATCAAATATTCTTACAACTAAACCGAATAATATGTGCTTCTGAATTTGAGTTTCTCTCTCATGCGCCAGACTGAGACGGGCTCAAAGCCTCGTTAACTCATTAAACACACTTCATTCAAACTGGATAGAAACTAAATAAAACACACCAAACGGGCCTTGTTTAGCCGTTCCACTGTTCCAACAAGTAGCTATCGTGGTTTGTTCAGAATAAACATTAGTTCACAGAGTGAGATGTGTAAATATGCGTCGCTGCATCTCTGCCGTGCGGATGCTCGGAGGTCTCTTTGGAGGCAGAACATAAATTAAATTTTCTTTCCCAGTTTAGCTTCAGGATTTTGAGGAGTGTCTCCAGCACACCTCTGTCCCAGTCAGGACAACTTCATGCATAGACGACAGCCAACTACAGCCACGGAGACGACAGCCAACTAACACTCAGAGGGCAAGAGAACAAGGATGTTTATCAGTGACATTGCACCCCAAATCTAAAGTAGCACTGATGCACTCCATCAGTAACAACTCTCACTGTAAACATATCTTTGACAAGCAAAGATGAGGTTTAAAATTGGCAGTTTCCTCCCTTTATTTTTTTTATTTTTTTTTTAAGTGAAAGTTTGAATCCAGGACTCGTATATATCTTGTGATGTCACCTCTTTTACTGCAACACTTCTTCTTCCACCAATTGAATATCAGAATGATAAAATATGTTACTTGCTATTCAAATGTGTTGCTAAACACAAGTAGGCGACAAGTTTTTAGTGACTATTGCTCCTGATACCCGGTTAACCTGTCTTTTATTTTGAAAGATCATCTCTGGTATGGTCCCAGGTGATGTGTCGGGTGAATATTAAGTGATCATGGCTTCCTGTTTCCTCTCTGCCTTCACCTTCATCTGCTTAGAGCTGCAGTGTTGGTTAATATTTCCCCGCCTATGAAAAGGCTTTCCGTCGTCTGTCTCACTCGCTGGTCCTCAACCACGTTGAGTTGAAGGTCCTCGCGAGGCCGAGAGAGAGACACGGCAGGTTCTTAACCGCATTAGCTCGCCCGTGCTCTTCACCTGGAGGCCCAGCGGAGGGGTCGGTTCCACCCTGAGCAGCCTAAAGTCCTGCTTCCTCTTATAGGACACGGATCGGTTGGCTGTCATCTGAGGAAGTCGTCTAATCTTAGCGGTGAAACTTATCCCCCCTCCTCGGGGGGCGGCCGCGTTTAGACTCGTTTACGGGGACTCGGTCAGTGTTTGCTACCTGTGAGCTGTGGGAGGAAGTTAGAATGAGAGATACAGGTAAGAGGCATGACTGTTAGAATACAAGTGACCACATTGCTGTTGGTATAAAGGTTTAGAATCAGCCGTTGTATTGATGTTTTTCTTCTTTTCTTCAATAATAACAGAGAAAAGCGTATGTGACCTTCTTTCTATTCTGCTACGCAGCAACATGGCATTCAGTTAAAGATCAACATATTGAGCAACTCACATTTTAACTCGTAATTCACAACATGCTGGTGTTCTTGCATAATATCTCAGTAAAACTGGATTCACTTGAAATGAAAAGACTTCAATGTCTCATGCAGGAGTTTAAAACGGGCCTTGAGCTTTCAGAATTGTGTGTTTGCATTGAAAACAAGGTGTTAATGTGTTCTGGTTGCTGCAGGTTAAATCCTGCAGAGTCAGACATGCAGGTTAAATACAGATTTACAAGAGACACGGTAATGACCATAAATACAAAACATACGATATTATAACCAAGAGTCTTTTAAAGACGAGACGCTCTCAAAAGCTCAAATGTAAAGAAGAACAAGGTTTCATGTGCCAACTTCCAGCAGACTAACTAATGCTGTTATGATGACACACAGCTTCTTCTTTGTATTTCTTCTGCTTGCATCATATATCTGAGGATGTCCTGCTCCTTCCTTCAGGTTTGCTTTCTTGCAGCCCATGGAACGGGACGCTTGGGAGATGTTTGGTCAGTCTAACGGTTGTTGTTCAGAACGTTTTTGCATGAAGTTGGAACACAACGGCTTGTATTTCGGGTTGAAGTGCTCTCTTTATATGCACACTATACACGCACATCAACACAGGGCCAGTATGAGATATTTGTTGAGATGTGAACGTGCACGTAGTCTCTTTTATTCGTGTTTGTAGTACCTTTTAAGCTTCTTTTCGTCTCCGTTACAAACCCGCCTACCAACAGGAGATAAATGGAGAAGCATGATTCCAGTTAGTCATGTTAGTCTCTCTGCACACTTATTATTGTGAGAGGTGTCGTGTAAGTTCAGACCCTCCGGCGAGGCTTCAGTGTGCGTTACATGTCAGTAATATGGCTCCAAATCTTTTCCTGTAACATCAAGGTGCTTTTCAACCCAATGGAGGCATCTTGACTCTTTGAAGATGCTTCCTAAAATATTAGTTTTTGTTATTAATTAATGTGATATTTTCCATGAACTGTGTTGAACCTGATTGGTGCATCTACTTTCACCTCTTCCACTTGTCCTAAAGAACACCTTTCAAAGGCATTTGGTGCTTTTCCTCAGGAGGAGCATCATCTTCCTGTTTTTGTACCCTTTTGTAGGCAGATTCATCTCCTAATGTTGCCGTGTGAAATGCTAATCAGAAGTTTCTGGAGGCTAACTTATTCCCTCGCTGTAGTTCCTCGTAAATGTAAAGTAATAAAAGTAGCTCAGAGGAGGAGGGGGGGCTGCGGACTAAATAGATTTCAGGCTATTTGGACGCTGGAACAGCCCGGTATGGTCAGAGTATCTCTTTCTTCTCCGTATCACATCTATAGTCGTTCCTCGGGATGACGGACAGTTTGGATTTAGACGCAGCGGCGCGATGACGTCGCCGCGCTGCATTATTTTGCTGCGTACTGTAAACGAAGATGTACATGTGCTGCTGCTGCTCGCCTGCAGAGTGACCTTACTGGTGATTCTACAGGTTTTGTAAACGCATCTTCCTGTATTTTATTTTGAAGATGTATGATATTTTTTTTTTTTTCCAGTTTGTGCTGATTTGTCACTGAATATGTCGCTGAGGTCCTGAGGTTTTCCAAACATTGGCAAACTCATTAAATGCAAGTGAGCTGCTGATTTAGCAGATATCACTAGTAGTGAAATACACGCTTGTCTTATTTCTTAAAGAAACCTCTAGGAGGCATGGAGCCCACTTCTAGGGGCTAGTGATCAACGGGTCAGGTGGTCCGAGGTCAGTAGTCCTACATAGAGGGTCTCAAAGAGGTCTGGGTCTCTCTGAGCCAAGCGTTCCTCCTCCAGATGCTCCTTGAACAGACCAGGCCTCTCTGTGGCCCATGACGTTTCTTTATGTAGGAGAATAGCTCTTTTGTCTCTGCTCATAATGCATCCATTGATGATGAGCAGGCCAGAGCACACTGCACCTCTATGCTCATAAATGTCAGACGCAAACACACCTGTGAAAAGAGCCGAGGTCAGCGCCGGCGACCGCTTTAAGTGGGCTTCAGCTTTCACAGACAAAAGTGTTCATGTAGACGTCACTGAACTCTGCAGAGGTGGAATATTACTAAGTACATTTACTCAAGTACAGTTTTGAGGTACTTTACTGAAGGACTTCCACTTTTTACTCCACTACATTTATTTGACCGCTTTAATTACCAATTACTTAACTTAACACGCATTCTTTGAAGATTAAATTGGAGGTTTCCAACCTTTTTGACTTGATAAACTCTCTAGTAGCAGCAGTTCCACCAAAAGAGACGTTTCCCCTCAAACGTCTCACATGGTTTTCAGATTTGTGCATCAGACCTTTTTGTTTTTCATTCCCATTAATCATCTCACGACCTTAGGAGGGGCCCGATGCCTCAGGTTGGGAACCTCTGGGCTACACTACAGAACTCTATATTAAGTATTTAAACTTGCTCCACTTTGAGCAGCTACAACATTAAAATGCTTTTACTTGTAATACTTAATAATGATGGCCATCGGCAGATGTAGACACGAAATACAATCATTTTCAAAAAATATATTCTGTATATTTTTTACGCCCATTTTATCAACTCTGCGTATCCGTCATCTAGCGACCTATCCTATCGGAGGGAAATGTTTATTTCTGGCAGAGATATTTCATATTGAAGCGGTTTATCTGCATCTTTATCTCGTGTTTAAATCCGTTGGACTGACGGGACTTTTTGTTCAGAGATGTTTGAAGCTTTTTCTGGTGTTTTCATGTTTGACCTGTCTGCGTTTGGCTCTTTACGACTAACCTCATGTGTGAGTAAAATGCCTCCTTTTGTGTTCCGTCTCAGTCTGCAGGCTGCATGGTAACCTGGACTTGATGCATGGCAGTTGCATGACCGCAGTAGGTCTTGTTGTGGGACTGAGAGCACACGGCTGCAGCCATGGCTCAAACCATGCACGTGAATGGCAATGGCTCAGGTAAACCAACCCTTTAGTTCATTATTATTTATTATACGATGTTCTATTTGCTTTTTTTTGATTGTGCATGTATTGGAGATACTCTAGCATGTTCTATGTTTATCATGTTAAATTACGTTTGGTACCTTTGTGTGTCGCACTGAATCATCACGGTCCTATTGTAGCAGACTGTTGGTTAATAATATACTCCGACATGTCAAACGATCCCTCGCTGCCTCATGAACAACATGTGCTCGTCCTTACTCAAATATAACGGAGCTGGGTGAGGACACAAAGAGCTAAATGTAGATGGTGTCCAGTTCCAGGGATGCTTCAGGCCATTCTATTTAACCGGTGAGCTCCTGCATCACATCTGTCTCTGTCTCAACGCCACACACAAGTGAAGGCCTTCCATTCTAGCATATTTTATTTTTTTACCTGAAGTCATTCAGGAGCTTTTTAGGCATTAAAGTATGAGTTTACATCAGTGGAAGTGATCAGTGCATATGTAATGTATGGCATTTAAAGCTTTGTAGCATCGGAATGAATGAGACTGATTGATCACTTGTATCTAGAGCGTGAGTGATATGGTTGAAATTAACTTAATTACGTTTTACACATTGGTTTTGCAGACATAGGACATACTATGAAATATGAATTTGCAGTTGTGGGAAATTAAGTTAGAAATAAATCAATTTAAACTGTATAAACAGAGTCTATCTTCACCAAGTAAAACCAGGAATAAACAAATAAAACCATGTTGTTTTTTTTTAATTACAACTTTATTTGTATTATTGATTTGGAAAATTATATTATATATCGGTCTACATTAAGTCTATAAAAACAAAGGTTATTGTTCTTTCAGTATAAGTTCAGTCAGATTCAGCAGAGGTTAATTCAACTTTTTTTAATTTGTGCTATGTATTTCCTCACATAATCTTTTCATGGACCTCTCACAGAGGAGTCGATACGTTTTGATTTAAGTTTGACATCCCTGCAAGTTATCGCTGCAGCTCTTTTGCTACTGAAACACGCTGAGGTTGTGCGTTCACACGGCACAACATGCAGAGAAGATTTGCACGCTTCAGTGTGAAATAAACGCTGTCAGCTCCAAACACACACACACACACACCTGCAGATGACTTGCATTGCTGTCCACACTAACGGGAGAGAGTGAAGCTTCTTACTTCCAAAATCCCTCCAGGAATGCACAGCATGCAGGACAGATGCTCTCAGCGTCAGTCTGCCACCACCGTTGAGATTCCACTCTCTGAGAGTTATCTTTTATTTAAGTACGTAGATGTGTGGATTCACTTCAAAGGCTACGAACCCAACAAAGGGTATTTTACTGTCCATTTTTGTTACAGAATGTGAAAAATGCTGAGGAATGCTATGCTAACACTGCTAACCCCCCCCCCCCCCCTTTCAAACTGTAAAAATAGCTTCTCTGCAGTGTTGGCAGTCAACATACCAATGTGGTTACCTGCTGCACCGAGAGAATTTCAAGAAGAGATTCACTCGACATTAATAAGTTGATGATCGGGTAGACGGCCGGATATCTTGAGGAGGAACTAGTGTGACAGTTGTTGGTTTTAGAAGTTGAAATATTACCTGTAAAGTTTTTGTTTTGTTTGTGGTACCCAGTTCTTTTAAAGGGACATTTCACTGGTTTAACACATGAAGTTTAGTTTACGAGGAGAGTTTCTCAGCCTGTAAAACACTTTGTCGAATGTCTTCTGTTCTTCTGGAGGAGCTTCATCAAGTCTGTTGTCTCGGCTTGGTCTTCAGACTTTAGTAGATTTTGTTTTTTGATGGAAATACAAAGTGGAGCTGTGGAGTGTGAAAGATGTAGGCGTTTACTATTAGGCTGATGAAGTGCTATTAAGTTGCATTATGGGAAGTGTAGTATCCCTTTTTGGGGGGGAGGCTCTCTTACGCTAACATCCTTTTCATAATTCTGACATTTTTAACAAGACAACTACAAATCATGACGATCTGAAGTGTGTTCAGGTTAATTGCACCAAAACCCTGCAGATGCTGAGTCATGGCTCACAGTAGACCATCACGGCTCTGGTCTGACCTGAATGCCTCCAGTCTGTCGTGGACAGAAACCACAGAGAGCGATGGGTCCAGCCCCCCCACTGCTCATTCAAACCCTCTACAGTGGTTTTGTTTCTGTTACCCAGCTGCCACTTGGAACAACCCCGTGGTGCTGTTTTCCTCCCCTGCCCCATCAGTCACTTTCCTTCTTGTGTTTATGTAAGTGCTGTTAGCTTACCATCATGTGTGCCGAAGGGACGGAGCGCCGCGTCTTTGTAAACTAAATGGTTCAATAGGTTGTTTGATGAATAGATGTAGAACTGCTTTAAGTGTATACTGAACAGTATATTCATTCAGAGTCAACAGCGAATGCATGTACAGTACAGCAGTCACGCTGCAAGAGATGCAATGTACTGAGGCATTAAAGCCGTCCATTGTGCACTAAACCACTTTGTTTTCAATAGAAAATTAAAATAGCTCCCTTGTTTACCATGCAACTGGAGAAACTGAAAGATCAGGGTCTTGTGTAGATTGTTGAATGATACAGCAAGATAGCTTAGCATAAAGTATGGAAACATGGGGAAACGGCTAGCCTGACTCTGTTCTAAGGTAACAAAACCCACCTACCAGCAGCCTTAAAGTTCGCTCAACAACACGGAATTTCTCGTTTGTTTAATCCGTACAAAAAAAGGGTAAAAATTGTTGTTTGAAATGTCAGGTAATTGCTACATCAGCTAAAGTTTCTATTTTGTTTTTAATAAAAAGGTAGAAACTGGTTCACTAGAAAGAAACCAGTGCGTCATGTCTGATTGTTTTGCTTGACCATCTATGAGAAAAGACCGATGTGGGCAAAGCTCTTCAAGCTGCCTCGATGTTTGCAGAGGAAGCCCAAACATTTCCTCCGGTCTGCATCATCACCTACCGAGTTAAGTTGTTGAATTTGGCAGCAGAGTCTGGCTCGGCCCTGTGACTTTCTACAAGAAGCTAATGGGTCACAGTGGGCGGCTCTGCTCTGCTCTGCTCCGTCTGTCCTGAATGTGTTTAAAAAAGGGCAGGAATGTGCAGCTTTAATGTACTCATTGTCTTTTTTAGCTCCGTTTCCTGTTTCCTGGTGTTGAGCTGCTGCACTATGAGGCGTTGATTAAATGCTGGCTCTACTTTTTCTTGTGAGTAATTAGGCGTGTAGACCTCGCAGGCAGAGCCAGGAAATACCAGCCTGGTTGTATGAGAAAGGGCCCGTGTGTGTGGGGCCACCAGAGACCCCTCCACCCAGGCACTTGCATCATACTTTGTGCTCACTCCGTGTAAAGCACCGAGTGTAACCACTACACGGTCTTATTCCACTCTGCAACTGTGTGTGTGTAAGACCTGTGTAACGTCTTTGTCTCATGACTTTGTACGGAAATATCTGCCGATTTCTTTATTTGTTGTCTTGACTTTAGAGTGCTGCAGGCGTGACTCATTCTGTAGACCAAGCAGGAAGTTAGCATCGTGAATTTTCAACTGGATTTTGGATTATTGCAGAAAATAAGTTCTGTGTCAAACAAACGTTTATGATACTGATACACTCCACATTTTTATTATTTTTGACGGGTGAATGCAATCGGCTGAAGTAAAAAGCTAACGTCACATGTCTTCACGTCACCACCACGAAGCTAAAGACGGACTAGCACGATGACGTTTATTAGTCTCATTTAGCCACTTGTTAGCCACGGCCTTTTTTTAGATGCTTAAAAGCTTAAAAATTGACGAGAGGACTATTTACTGACTTATTTTATATCGTAGAACAAAACGTTAAATCTAAGCTTGTGTTAACCACAGGAATCTATTAATGTGTATATAATATCACCTTTATATGTGCATAACAAGCTGCATGTTTTGCAGCATGAAGAAGCCTGTAATGTGTGGGTTTAGTTTTCTAGATATAAAGAGAGACGCACATATTGTGATTTCTGATTCGATAACAAACTTGCAGACATGTTTAGACCAGTCGCCTCATTTATTCTGCCTCTGAGGGCAGTGTGTCTAAAATTAGACTTTTTACAGAGCCAGTGCAAAATAAGCCAAGCCCTGGTTGGTTGTTTTTCCTCACAGATTTTAACATCAAGGCCCAAAGTTGGCCTTCAGCACAGTATTTTAAGAGCAAACGCACAAAGAGGGAGAGAGAGTTCATGGGTTTAAAGTTACTGAAAAGGAGTCACAGAAAGGTTTTAGATGAACGAGTGGAAAAAAATATATTCAGAAAAGCAACAAAGATATCTTTTTATTTCTCAATTGAGAGACAACTCATGAGACGCCCCAAAGCTTGCATGTACATTAAAGAGGTTTTACACGGAGCACATGTGCTGGTGTCACAAAGCGTGAATAATCGGACCGAGGGCTTCTTCTTTCGGACATCAACGTATTTGACTTTAATTTCAAAAGAGCAACTGTGTTCAGTCGGCACCTGGTTTCAGTTGGAGGCTCTGGCCTGGAAATCAGTTGCAACACGTGTGAGAAGTAGCTGCTGGAAACATACCAGCTGCCGCAGAATGAATGCACAGATGATGTTGGATAATTGGGCTGAAGTATTTTAATGTCCCAGCTGAGAGACGGGAAGCCGGGCGTGTGCCAAGCTCTGGATGCTGTTTTAGGTTGTTGACTTACAAAATGTTTAGTTCAGTGATTCATTGTTGGATAAACTCGTGTTTTCAAAAATACTGAGGAAAAAAAACTAACGAGGTCGGCAACAAACTGTTGTTTTAGTCTATAAAATGTAAAATGGTGAAAAATGTCCATCACAACTTCCAAATGTTCAAAGTCATCTTTACATTTTCAGTTTTGTCCGACCAACGGTCCAAAACCAAAATATATTTGATTTCACAGCTGTACGAAACGTAGAAAAAGCTCAAAATTCTCACATTGGAGACGTTAGAAAACAGATGTTTGGTGGTGGTGCGTGATAAATCACGATTATGTAAACGACAGATTAAATGAAGAGAGGGGCCGGCGTTAATGAGAACAAAGTCATGAATCGGAAGAATAAAAAGATATTTTCGTTTACGTTCTAAAACACAAATAAAAAAACATCCTCATCTCTTCAAAAAAGTTCTGGATTTTGAATGAATGCAGGTCAGGACGCGCGTCATCCAGCTGCGTCGTGTCTGGGCGTGACGAAGCGGTGGCGTTGGACACTGGAATGACAACAGGCTGCACTCTGCTTATTGGCCGGAGGTTTTAACCCCGTGTGGGATCCAAATTATCTTTGCTGACGCCCAGAAAAGTCCCGAACACAGTAAAATAATAAGAAAAGAGGAACTGCAGGCAGGTTCTCTGCAGATACAGACACTACCACATCCTTGTAATGGGTCATAAGTGATGATGAAGAGGCATTATTTTTCTACCAGTGCACACGTTGTTTATTAGGAAATTGTTGCATGTTATACCTTTTATGTAACCGTAGCAATACTACCGTGCAGAAATGCTGTTGCAAGTACTCATAATGTAGACTGGCCCATTTCAGTATCATGTGTATTATATTATTATTACTGTACTATTAGAAGATGAACTGACTAAATGCAGAGGGAAATTAAATCTAGGTGGAGGGCCCTTTTTTTATAATTCCTTAAATACTAGCAGCGCTTACTCGTACTGGTGGAGCTCAATTTGGGAAAACTTCGTCTCCCAAAAATGTGTAATTCGCTGGTTTTGCAAACTGTTTTTCCGGTGGGGATGATTCTAGACGACGACTAGGAGATGTTGTAAAGATGTCACATTTCATAATAACATCGTAGTTGTTTAATGGAGGAGACCGTCTGTGTAGCTGTTGTGTAATCTCTGTCAACTGGACAACGTAACAGCTGCTGATAACTGGAGGCGACTCCCGGGCTCTCGGCCCCGTCACTGCAGCGCGACCCTTCAGTTGTCCCGTGTTCATGAGGTCATCGCTCAGCTGTCCATGGTCTCGGTGGTACCAGAGGGCCGCCTGTCACACGTGTGTGAGAGAGAGAGAGAGAGACATGGCTGGTCAGAAACTTGTGGGGGGACCGGGACCAGGACCAGACAGCACAAGACCGTGACTGTGCTGCTGCCTCACGGATTATTTATACCAGTCAAAAGCAACAAGATGTGCTTATTTCAGGTCTGTGCAGGAGGAAACACAAAGCGGGTTCTGTTTTAAGATTAAGATGCTCTTAAACTTTCCAGAAAATGTTCCTAAAGGACAAATCGGCATGAATAGATGTAAACGTTTGCGTTAACTTTTAATTAGTAACATATCTGGTTTAGGGGCTGCAACTAACTGTTATTTTGGCAGATTATTTAGTTGGTTAATCAGGTTTTTTTCCCTATAAAATAGTGATACACGGCCATTATGAGTTCCAAAAGCCCCAATGGGAAGTCTTCGGCTTATTTTGTCCAACCAACTGTCCAAAATCCTCCCAAAATTTCAATTTACCATCAAATTTGACAAAGAAACTGATTGTTGTTGGTCATTTATCAAGAAACAAATGGATAAACGTTGGTTCCAGCTTCCTAAATGTTTGATTTGTTATCATATGTTTTTATATAATTGTATAAAAGTAGAGCTCTTACTTGGTGAAAGTTTGCTCTGCAAAGTATAAATGCTTGACATGTACAGTAGCCGAGTGATCCGTCTCAACAGGCCGTCATTGTCATGAGTTCACCTCCCCTCCAACTCAATAATAGGACTCTTATTTGGGAAGGGAAGCTCTGGGCTCAGAGCCTCGCGGGATTGGAGGAGGCAGCTGTCCAATAGTGATGTAGAGCAGTGCTGTGCTTCAGTTTACACCAATAGTGGAACTTTTTATGCCCCCCTCCTCCTCCTCCTTTATGGAGAGAGGATTGAGAAAGAGTGAGAAGAAACAGCAGTTCTGTGGCTCAGGTCTGCAGTTAAATCCTGTCCAGCAGAGAGACGCGGTGAAGAAGAAGGAAAAGTAAAATGCTGCCGGTCTGAGGTGAGTGCAGCTTGAACAACGAGGTGGTTTTTAGCAGCGGGCTTTAAGCCTTGTAATTGCCTCCTTCTGTTTGTGTCTGAATGGAAAGGATTGACGGGGAGAAGACGTTAGCCGGAGCTGGCGGGCTGGACTGGAGGGGAAGAGCCGGGCTGTTTATTTCCAGCCTGTGTTTGCTTTAGTCGCTGAGAGTTCCAGGCATACCAAGAACAAGACGCTGCTTTTAGCCAATGCAGAGTGAATGTAGTGGAGTCTCCGACTTGCCTGGAAAGCTGGGTGGCTCTATAGACTCGCTCTAACGGGGGAGTGTGGAGTTTGGACTTTAAGCAGCTCTGACCGCTCTGTATAAAGTGTATGAACTCAGGACATTCAGTGTAGTTTAATTTGTTGTCTTTAAACTTTCTGCTCAAAACGTGATAGTTTATGCCTCATGTGTGTCTGTAAAAGCTCAAATGTTGACATGACGGATGGATTTTGGACTTGAACATATTGACATTGTCTGTTTTTCTGACCCCTTTGGCTCGTCTCTTATCTGAGCTTTGTAAACAACGTTCTGTTTATCTACCCGAACCCTAACCCCAAACCTCATCAGGCTAAATTATACAAGTAAACCAACATTTGTTTTTATTCGGAAGTTTACTACGCCGCTTAACATTTGGTGTTTTTCTCCACTTAGTTGCATCTCGCATAGTTTTGGGCTGACCTGAACCACCCCTTGCCAAAATGATTATCACTCACGCTTTTCCAGCAGACATGTGAGAAACCTGAGACGTGTTTGTACTCGCACTTTCAAATTATGGCGATTGTCAGCGACCGAGGAAACACTTTGCCCGACACTCGAGCTGCTTCAGGGCAATAAATGCATCATTTTTCAAAATACATATGATGGTTTCTTTACAAGTTACCTTTTATTCCCTGCAGGTCTACAAATGTAAATTATTCTGTAGCACGCTCTTTATTTGCTTTCGCTCTTTCCAGAAACACAAAAATCTGAACTCTTAACTAACTTTATCTTCTCGTGGTCTCTGTTTCAGAAAGAGGACAAAGATGCCCAAGCACAGAGGACGAGAAGGACTCTGTGGCCCCCTACTATGTTGAAACTCCCTATGGTTATCAGCTAGATCTGGACTTCCTCAAGTATGTCGACGACATTGAGAGGGGCAACACCATTAAGAAGCTGAGTATCCAGAGGAAGCCCAAAGTGGCCAAACCCTTGGCGGTGCCTCGGGGCAGCACTGGCGGGGGCAGCACTCGGGCTGAATGGACCTCCACAGACTCCCTGTCCTCCTCCAACAGCGACGACAAGCAGTCCCCAGTCTTCTTCAACGGCAGGCCCCAGGTCGCTGCGCCGCTGACCCCCTCCCTCTCCAGAGCTACCTGTGAAGCCCCCCTGCAACAATCCTACTTGAGCATCACGGAGCAGAAGCTGCTGCTGCCGCCTCCCTCGCCAAGGTTTGCCCCTCGTCACAACCCCCAGGTGGAGAGGACCCTCATGGAGACGCGTCTTCGCCTCGAACAGGAGCGCCTGCTCATGCAACCGCACAGCGAGCCAGTGATGCCCCGCCGCCGTCTCGCCAGCTTCGGCGGCATGGGCTCCAGCAGCTCGCTGTCCTCTTACTCTGGCTCCATGGCCCCGAGCCAGATCTCTCCCACCTCCCATCACCCTCTCCCCATCAACGGTCACCTCCCCAATGGAGAGTACAACCTCTTCTACCCGCCATCCATGGGCAGCTCCATCCGCCACAGCCCCATGAGCTCCGGCATGGCCACGCCTGTCACAAACGTCAGCCCGTTGCACCTCCAACAAATCCGGGAGCAGATGGTCGTGGCCCTCAAGAAGCTGAAAGAGCTTGAGGGGCAGGTGAAAACCATTCCTATCTTACAGGTTAAGATTGCTGTTCTTCAGGAAGAAAAAAGACAATTGGCTGCTCAGTCCAAAAATCAAGGTCCTGGTGGCTTTCGCAAGCGCTCCTACAGTGTAGGCAGCGCCGACCAAATGGAGAACCCGGGCCCCATCCCAAAGGAAACGGAGCTGCACATCATGGAGCCCGAAGTCCAGGAACAGAACGCTCAGCGGCAGGAGGAGTTCAGACGTCTGGCCGCTGAGGTCCAAGCTCTGGAGCAGACGACCCTGGACAATAATGTGACTGAAACTCGGCCTCAGAAGCAAAACCAGGCCCACCAAAAGTCCATTGGCATAGTTACCGATGAAAACATGAACAGCCTTCCTGTCAATCAGAGGACGAATGGACATTGTTTCCGGGATGCTGGAGTATCGACGGAGCTGCAGGAAATGCGCAGCGCGGCGGTTGGCGTGACCGAGGCCATGCTGGGCATGACCAGTGAAGCCGAGAGGGAGATCGAGCTCCAGCAGCAGACCATCGAGGCACTGAAGGAGAAGATCTACCGCTTGGAGGTGCAGCTGAAAGAAAGCACGCACCAAATAGAGATGGGAAAGCTTAAGCTGGAGCTCCAAGTGGCCGGTGGGTCGAACAAGAAAAAAGTGGACAAAGGTCTGATGGCGAGGCCTGAGATGTACAACGCCTGCGTGGAGGCCAAAGTCCAGATGCGCAGCGTGGGAGTGGGTGAGAATCTGGAATCCGGCCATGCAAACGCAGCTAAAACTCTACAAAGCCATACTGTCGGAGTGTCCTGTCAACCCAGCGTGCAGAGTGTCGCCACAGGCCCAGAGGTCCCGATGGACCGGTGGGTGGTGCATGAGCGCCGGGAGGTAAACGACCAGTGTGTAGGGAGACGGGTGGAGACGTGCGACCAGCTGGTGGGCACGGAGCTGAATGCTTGCCAGGTTGGAGTTAACACGGAGGAATCGGTAGACAGCCTGGCTCTCTGCAAGCCCATGACGGAGCTGAGCAAACAGTCGAGATCAGTCGGCTGCGGAGATTGTTCAGTGGATGTGATCGTCGGTCCCGTCAAGACACTGCTGTCGCAAGGAACTGACCCGGATTACGTCAGCAAAGTCGACTCCGGTGTCATGGCTGCTCCCGAGTCGGCAACTCGGCAGACCAATACCGAGACGGAAGTAGCGAGCAAATCCACCAACACGAGGACGTCCGTGCTGACCGACTCTTTCACTGATATGGGGCTGATCACTTGTGACAAACACACCAACACGCCCGTGATCGAAACGAGGACGGTCGCTGCCGGGGAAGGACTCATCAAAGACGTGCACTCGACGGCAAAGATGCGTTCCATCGCTGTTGGAACCACCACAGACATGGAGTCATTCCTTGGCAAATCGAGCTCTACTAAAACCAAAGAATGTGGGGTGGGACCAGTTAGCATCCAGGAGAACTTCTTGGTTGGATTAAAAACCAGGAACATAGCGTGCGGCCCCTCCCAGCCAGCTGAATGTGTCACAAGCAGCAGCAGAGAGGCCGAGGAGGCTGAGGCTGCACCACTGCAAGCTCAAGCCCAGGCGGCCGCCGGACTGGACCACTACATCGAGAGGGTCCAGAAGCTGCTGCAGGAGCAACAAATGCTGCTGGCGGAGAACTACAGCGAGCTCGCGGACGCTTTCGGTCAGCCCCAGTCCCAGTTCGGATCCATCAACAGTCAGCTGGTCAGCACGCTCTCGTCCATGAACTCAGTCGTGAAGTACGGAAGCGCCGAGGACATCCTGAAGCTGCAGTCGGACTCCGTGAACGCGGACGAAGGTGAGGGGTTTTGCTGAGGATGCTAATGGTTCCACGTGGTGCAGAAACAAATGGTTCTTGTGATAACTGGCAGAACGTCGTGCCAGACAATCAAAGCATAGTTTCAAGGGCAGACAACTGAAAGACACACACACACACACACACACACACACACACACACACACACACACACACACACACACACACACACACACACACACACACACACACACACACACACACAGAGAGAGAGTGTATCTTTCAAAATAGCTGTCAAGCTTGCAGTCTTGTATTTAATGCCTGAGGGAGCATTGAGAGAGAGTTTGATTACATTTCTTTTTTCTCTTCCACAGATTATTGCACAATGGATTGAACGAGTTAAATCTTTCTCTTATTAGAATCAAACTTTTTAAAGGTGTACAGTATGCTGAGACTCTTGAAAATCATTCTGTTTTGAGTTTTTATATCTTAGTGCACTCAAGAAAAACACCTCATTACACTTTTATGTACCTCTTAAGAGTTTTACAAGTAGCAACACTTAAAGTTGCCCCGTGGAAACCAACAAGTTATGTTGTTTTTATTTTAAATCCTGCATTGTTAACATCTTTACTAGCTTTTAGTCTTCTTCTTAGCACATTGTCTCATTTCTTATTTACTGTCGATATGTAAAATATAAACAGCAACTCGAGGCCAAAAACTCAAAAGGGTATCTTTTAAGCAGAACACACCAAACTGAAATTGGAAGCAGTTGAATCATGATTTACAAAATGCAGATGATTACCCTGTAGGATAAGGATTAGGAAAATAATTAATTAATTTGTAATTAAGATGGAAAAGGATAAGAAAAATATACATTATACACTGAGATTTTAAGGTCTTATAATAAAAAGGAAGGAGGGTAAAATATATAAACGGTGTAAATAAAAGTTATTCATTTATGTTTAGTTTTAAAGGATGCAGAGATATTGTGATCTTGCTTGATTCTTTTGGGAAGAAAGTCTTTTAATGAACGATGACTGAAATAATATTAATAATGAACTTTGTGACTTGTTTTGAAAAGTGCTGTGTATATAAAGTGCTTTACATGATAGAACCAGGATTTAAAACCTTTCAGATCTGCAGTAGGACAAAGGAAATGCAAACAAATGCACAATGATATAAGATAAAAAGCTAGAGATGGAGCGTATCAAATATATTGATACAAAGTATATTTGAATTTAATATTGAATGTGGTCGGTCTAGAGAGGATCCTGATCGGACCGGACAGGCCAAAGTTATCTCTGACCCTGAAAAATGCGGCGGGGCTTTGGACGTGAACCAACAATGAGCTCATTTCTTTTTGGGAACCAGTGAACGTCGCACCCATCGGCCTCTTGTTGTTTTTGCGGGCCGCCCCGGCCTCCACCGACACCGCGCTGTTGATGCTGATTCATGGCTCCTTCTGAGTTACATAACACACATTCATGCCGGCTGGCACATGAACGCGGGGCGATTGTCTTGTGTTTGGGAGCTTGTTTCTGGCCTCTTCTGGAATGTAGGATGACTAAACCGACAATAAACTGGGTGGGAATGAGAATGCGACTGTGGTTAGAGGTGGAAGTACATTTACCACCTTCTACCGACTTCAGTAGTTACAATTTATGTAACTTTTTATTTGTTCTCCACTACATCTTTAACTCTTCTAAAACTTTAACTCTTCCAAAGGAGGGATTGATGACAGTTAATTGCACTTCCTCCTCGTCTCAGAGGAGTTTTGTTTATGGTGTAACACTTTGATTTCTTTGTACAAGGACTTGTAAATAAGATCCGAAATAAGAAAGTTTCTCATTTTTAAGCAGTCAGTTGGTTGTAGTTAAATTTTGTTGTCACTTTATTGAGATATAACCGAGTTAAACGCAGCATAACATGCCAACTTGTCATTAAGATATGCCAGCAGTTAGCGGTTCTAAAGCTTTTTGTTGTTTGCATTCTTGCTCTGTTTTTTAAGTGCTATGTTAATGTGAGTTCAAATGAAAGTTGTCGATTGTAAGGAACTTTAACCGATCGGTCCCATCTGACTTTATCTCCCCTCCTCCTCAGAGATCAGTCAGCAGCTTCGTACAGAGCGGTCACACATGGAGACGACGTCATGCGGCCTGACTCCCTCAGATAAACATGCCAACACACCTGCTCAGCAGCAGCAGATCAGCGCGGCGGAGCAGAAGAGCCGCATGGACCTGCAGATGTCTACAGCTCTACACGGTACGGCTACGGACACGCGTTTAGGATACTCGTCCTGCTGCATTATTGTAAAAAAAGTGGCCGTTGTTTGATTTTTACATCCTGCTGCGGAGAGCCAAAGGCAGAGCTGCAGGCTGTTATTAGTGTGTAGATGTGATGTTTTAGCGAAGAGGCAGCGGTGGTTATCTGACCAGATGGTCCAGGCTCAGCTCGCCTCAAGTTCATTCTCGAGTGGTAAAGTGATAATATTACAGTTGGGTTAGAAATGGCAGCACATTTTTATGGTTATTTATATTTAGATGGCCTAAAATACGGCTGCTACACAATCACCTGAACGCACACTTCACGTATAAAACTCTAAATTGTACTTGCATACAGTATTTGAGTAACTGTATTTAATTACATTCCACTACTGTCAAACGATGTAGCAGGAAAAACATGGCTGCAAATATCATCATCGGCGTAGCTTCCTCCTGACGAGCTCCTAACGCTCTCGCCTGTCCAAACACGCCAAACCTGCTGAATGACTTTGTTGCTACTGAGCGCACACACACGTCACTGTAGACACACATGCAACTGAATGCATGTTGATACATGGACACACACACACACACACACACACACACACACACACACTCTCAGCTGTCCCCCGGAGCAGTAAAAGAGGCCCTTCAAATCAGGACAAGCCTTGGCAGATGTGCTGAGTGTTTCTGGCTCTCGGCTGGTACTTTTGGTTTTCGGAGGGCTGTGTTTAAAATGACTGAGATACTTTCAGGGTTTGGAGGAACTTCCAGCTCCTCGCTGACCGAGTGCTTTGGAAAGAGCGTGAGACGGACACTTAACGGCTACTTTCCTCTCTGCCAAAGCTCTTGATCATGTCAGAGGACCTTTAGAGGCTCATTCAGGCGTCATCTGTGCTGCTGTTAACGGATACTTTCAATGTTGCAGGGGATGAGACTCTACAAGGAGAATTATTGTTTAAAAATGTAAATGCAAGACGACAAAATGCAGGAAAAGAGATGCAAAGAGTTTATAGAAACATGACAGTTTTCTACATCCATTTTGGACACCTTACAACAATTTGCACACTGTATGCATCAGAGCTGCACAGTTAATCAAATATTAGTTGTGATTTTTAGACACATTATACGTGTAAGACTAAATCAGCAGCTGTTGCTTCATCATGAAGCTCATCACAGACACATCTTGAACTAAATAAACTTGTTTATATGAAATATAATAAATACAAATTATGTTCACTCTTCTCTCCTTCAGGGCAGCCGTGCCGCCAGAGCACCCTGAAGTCCATCATGAAGAAGAAAGATGGCCGACCCGACTCCAACGGCACCAAGAAGAACCTGCAGTTTGTCGGGGTGAACGGAGGGTGAGTCTGAAAATATATGAATATAATCACTGTCCTGAATATTAAGTAGATTACCTTTAGCTTTGCATTTTAAGTTGCCTGTTAGATGTTTTTAACGTAATAATATTGTAGTGAATTAGTGTTTTTAAGTGTCCTGAGAGAGGTTAAAGGTGCGGCTGTTTGACATTTTTACAATTTACGTCCTCTTGGAGCTCAAAGCGTTGTGAAATCTGTGTTGGTCTTTTGGTGCAAACATCTGAGTCTTCAAGTTCCTCTGCTTTTGTCGCCCCCTCGTGGCAAAGCAGGTATGAGACGACGTCCAGTGACGACTCCAGCTCGGAGGACAGCAGCTCCTCGGGGTCGGACGAGGAGGAGGATGAGGATGAGGATGAGGAGAAGGAGTTCGGTGGAAACGAGGAGGGATATAAGAATGTGGAGGCAAAGATCACCAGGGAGGAGTTTCAGCCCGAGGGAGCCAAGGAGGTGAAGGAGGAGGAGGAGGAAGAAGAGGAAGAAGAAGAGGGAAGTTCAGAGAAGCAGGAGATGAGAGTGAGGTGGGTTAAAGAGAATTATTGTGAAATTGACTGTTTTTACTCCTTTGAACTTATTCTGTATGTGAATGTGTTAAAATCCTGTGTATGAGGTTTTTTTTTGAGTATTTTCTTTAACTGTCTCTCTGTTTTGGTTTGATTTCTAAGAATGTGGCGATTAACTACAGTTTCATCAGGTTCGTGCAGGTAAACGGGTGTAGTATGATTAGCATGCTACAGGGACGAGCTATCATCGCCATAACGAGCTGCAGGACTGGATACCAACTGAGCGTTTCATCATTAAACTGTTGGAAATTAAAAGTTATGATCATTTGAATTGCCGTTATATCAAATCCTACTTTTCTTTAAAAAAAATAAGTATATATTTAGTTGTTATACATTTACTCGGACCATAAATATAAAACACAGGCAAAATAAATAAAGATGGATAAAAGTAGGAAAACTTTATTCTTCAATAGTCATTTCAATGTATTTGTATTGTGTTTCCTCTCTATAGGAGTTTAATTGAAGAAGCTGAGCAGTACTGGTTGTGAAACTTACAATTATCCAACCAGAGCTGGAAATGTATCTTCAGTCTCACCTCAGACACAGTAGATAACCTGCTGATGAATAAATAAAAGTTAAAATAATGAGTTCATGATCTGATGAAGCCAGCTGCAGTTATACTTATTTTTGTCACATTACTGTGGGATGTAATATGGATACATTATCAGATAAAAGGCAAATGAAATGCAGTAAATGTTATTTGAATGTAATAACTGTTGATTGTCTCAAAGGTACGAGCTCAGTGAGAAGATGCTGGCAGCGAGCAACGTTCTCAAATCTCACCTCAGTGACCCCAAAGCTGTGAGCAGTAAAGATCTGGTGAGCAGGATTTATTTTCATTATTTCACTGTTAAACGAAAACTTCACCCCCAAAATGAGGATTTGTGTATTTGTGAGTGAGTACCCAGTGTTACCTTGAATTCTTGAAGAAAACGTAGACAAGTCTTGATGAATTGAAGCACCCAGACACTAACTGCTGGCCGTGCTCCTCAGAGAGCCTGCATCAACACGGTGCAGCACGAGTGGTTTCGCGTGTCCAGCCAGAAGGCGGCGGTGGCGGCCATGTTGGAGGACTACCTGGGGGCCTTCGGGGCCGTCTCGCCGGCCGTGCTGCGCCACATCGTCAACATGGCCGACGGCAACGGCAACACGGCGCTGCACTACAGCGTGTCGCACTCCAACTTCCAGGTGGTGAATAAGCTGCTGGATGCAGGTGAGAGCAGCAGGATGACCCGTGTTTTATTTCTACTCATTTGTAAATGAAAAGGAATCCGTTGTCCTGTGAAATGTTTCAAAGCTTTTCTAATCCATCGAAACTCTGAGGTTATCTTTGTTCTGCTTGAAATGCAGATGTGGTTTTGTTTTACTTCCTCAACCTCATCAGACGTCCTGAACTCTCCACACTTCTCTCCTCCTGCTTCTTTTCATCTTCCTCTTTAAGATATCAGAAAGTCAGCAGTGACTCAGACACTTAAAGGCCTCTAGCTAAACTTCTTCTCTGCTCTCTGCTCTCTGTCTCACACATACTCCCAGAATCAGCGACGCTTACTGTTTATAGTCGTAAACTGTACGTCTGGTGACAAAGAGGTCCGTGGTTCCTCTGTCTCTCCTTCCCTTCCCTTCCTGTCTGCATCTCTACCTTAACTTTCAAATGACCGGTAACCATCTTATGGGTTTAAAAGATATCAAGGCATCCATCAGTGTGCGTGTGTGTGTCACAGTCCTCTGAAGCTCCTTATCAGGCTACATTCTAAGCCCGCCCACTTTTTAGTGGTCCAATCAAACAAGATTGCTAAATGCAGGACTTTTACTAACACGAGCGTTTGTACAGTGTGGAGTGAGTACTTTTACTTGCACTGGAGTGTTTTTACAGTGTGGTCTGAGTACTTTTACTTGCACTGGAGTGTTTGTACAGTGTGGTCTGAGTACTTTTACTTGCACTGGAGTGTTTGTACAGTGTGGTCTGAGTACTTTTACTTGCACTGGAGTGTTTTTACAGTGTGGTCTGAGTACTTTTTACTTTTACTTACGTGAAGGATCTGAACACTTCCTCCACCGCTGCCCTGCAGAGATCTCCCTGAAGGCTCAATAGACTGTGATGAGGTCCCGGCCACTCAATGCTCCAAAAAGCCTTTTGTGTCCTCGTGCTCGGTGACAGCACATCCACCCCCCTGCTCCCATTGTAGCCTTTGTCCTCCCAAAGACCTCTCCTCCCCTCAGTGGGGCAGGGCCGTCACAGCTCTCCCCCGTCTGATGGCTCTGATGTCTTGTCTCTCTTTGCAAAGGATGCGTTCAGACAATATGTTCCGGTCGCAGGACAAGTCTCAGGAATGACGCGCGTCCTCGTACGTTACCGTGACGTTGAGTGACTGACGGGCAGAGACGAGTCAATCACAGACAGTCGGACCAAACAAGTGCTTAAAGACCACCCGCACTGAAAACGTGTTCCCCTGAGCTGCTGCAGAGTTTTAAACATGGTGTGTGTGTGTGTGTGTGTGTGTGTGTGTGTGTGTGTGTGTGTGTGTCAGATGTCTGTAACGTGAACCAGCAGAACAAGGCCGGGTACACGCCCATCATGCTGGCCGCGCTGGCCGCAGTGGAGTCGCCCAAGGACATGCGTATTGTGGAGGAGCTCTTCAGCAAAGGAGACGTCAACGCTCGAGCCAGCCAGGTCAGTGACGGGAGGGGTCAGAGGTCAGGAGGCAGCGGCAGGCCGACAAACGTGTGGTTCAGGTTTCAATGAGCAGGGAGAAGGAGGCTGTGAGGGCAAAGATCTGTTTAGGAATCAAGCAGGTTGAAGATAACGACGGTATTTTAAATGGCTTAAAATTAGGTTATTTTTGTGTTTCATTCATAGATCAGAAGTAAACCAGATGACGCACAAGAGTCCCAGTTGAGTTTAGCTGCAAAAGATTTTATCAGAAGTATTTTTACGCAAAAGAACCAAAAATAGATCTTTGGTGACACCAAGTGGTAAAAGAAGGTAACTTTTTAGTTTAGAGGGAGAAGATTTTATGCTCGGTTCCACAAATGTTGCTAAAATTGCTCTTTACTTCTCTTCTTATTCTAGTTTAATAAACCTCTTATTATTGATCTTTCTCCGTTCCTCTTCCTCCTTGAACGAGCGAGTTGAAGGTGTTAACAGAACCTCTCTGTTTTCCCCTGTCAGGCTGGTCAGACGGGTCTGATGCTGGCGGTGAGTCACGGCCGGATGGACATGGTCCGGGCCCTGCTGGCTCACGGGGCCGACGTCAACGTCCAGGACGACGAGGGCTCCACGGCGCTGATGTGCGCCAGCGAACACGGACACGTGGAGATCGTCAAGCTGCTGCTGGCTCAACCCGGATGTGACGCCACGCTGAGCGACAGCGTGAGTAACTAACAACATGAAGTACTGCACCGAGGTTTGACTGAGACTTTACTTGAGTTTTACACTTCTAGTGGGTCATAAGTGAGGATTGATTTGGATTATTTGTGTTCGTTTTCAAGAAAGTCCTACTCATTCTGCCTTAACTTTATCTCTCATATAATGTGCTGATCACTGCAGATAAACAGTTTAGTTTGTGTGACTGATCTTTTATTCCTTGTTTCTTCCCCTTTGTCCTTGTCTCCTCCAGGATGAGAGTAACGCTCTGTCCATCGCTCTGGAAGCAGGACACAAAGACATTGCCGTGTTGCTTTACGCACACGTCAACTTCTCCAAAGCCCAGTCGCCTGTATGTCCTCGTCCCTGTAGAGCACCCTGTTCTTCTAGTTTCACGTCTGTTCACATGTCACATTTACACTCGTGCGTTTGTATTCCAGGGGACACCTCGACTCGGCAGAAAGACGTCACCGAGTGTCACTCGGAGGAGCATGTTTGATTAGAGGCCCCGCCTCTCCCCACAAACCCTGCGCTGCTATTGGTTCACGCTGAACGACGCCTTTCCCACAGCTGGATGGGGGACTTCATCCCACGCACCAGCCAACCAATGAGATTCCTGGAATTATTTTTTTATATATATATCTATGTGCACACTCACGAGCCCAAAGTGCCCTTTTGAGTATGAATGTAACCAGCTGGTGCCTCCAGTCCCGTCGGATAACAATCAGCAAACCGACACAAATTACACGACTAAATACATTTTTTTTGTTTCTTTTTTTTTGTCCGTTTCTTTAATTTTTCTAATTTTCTTATGCAATTTGACAACTTTTTTATTTTAAATGTCTGAAGCTCAATGTTGATCATTCAAGAGCACCAAAACATTTGTGATTATTTTTTCTTTTCTTTTCGGTTCGCATCAGAGTAGAGACAGATGGAGAATAACCCACCCGCATGTTAGAGGAAGTACTTCCTGTATATATCGCTCGCCTCGACATCCCGGCCTCACACATGTGCGCCCAGCTCTCTGCAGTACATGTGCAACTCATGTGGATGAACGCACCGACGAATAGACGCTACCTAGAACTGGAGAAATTGTACTTTTATACGAATCCTTTGTATCTATTTAAAGAGAAGAATCACAGTATTTTGAATATTTCCTATTACTACTTAACGACCCATGAAGTTATATATTTATCAAAGTATAGTTTTTAATGCAGATATGTATTTCTTTGTACATACGGTGGTCATTAGAGTTAAGTTTCTCTCTTTTTTGTGTGTCCATTTCCTTCCCGTCTGTCTCTGGTGTGTAATATACGCTGTCTGTCCTCTAGTATCACGGTACTGACTGTCATCCTCCAATGAGAAGTGAAGTGCCTGAGACTTCGCCATATAACAATAAACACCAATTAAAGAATGCAGATCAGTGTCTCGGCTTCATTGTGATCCACACGTCTGTGATGAGTAAACATTGAACACATTTAAGAGAAAATAAACAGTCTGTTTTATCTCGGGTTTCTACCTGGTTCTCTGTTCAGCAGAAGAAAAGAGGCTATTAAATACATTTTTTCCACTCCAAAATATTTTATTCTAGACAGACAAAATGTTGATTTAACATTTAGCAAAATGCTATAAAAATCAATGAAAAAGGTGCAAAAAAAACAAACATTTAACACATCTTAAATTGTGTTTTTAGACTAAAACAGTCTGGAAAACACAGCTTTACATGAAAACATACATATTGTATATAATATAATTATATATATATATATATATATATATATAATGTGTACATTCTTCTAGAAGTGTTGACCAGAAACGATGACGATCAAAAACAAAACATAACATTTCACCCACATTCATAATGTAGAAGTTTAAAGAACTTCATGTGAGCCAATGTTGGCACAACTTGAGTTACTTTGCAGATTTAGATTAATAAAACCGATTTAGATAAAACTTTATTGATCTCCGGGGGGAATTTACAAGCATCCCATCAGTATATAAATTAATTCAACGTTAAAGTGAAGAACAATCGATGACTGCATCAATAATCTAAAGTTTATGATTCTTTAATGAGTACTTTCTCTTTTGGTACTTGGTGTCAATACTTCTGTACTTGAGTAGTACATTTTGAATGCAGGACTTTAACTTGTATCAGAGTATTTCTGTACTGCGGTGTTGCTACTTTTACTTAAGTAAAATATCAGAATACTTCTTCTGACGCTGTTGGTTGCACGTCACATGAGACGAACTGAGTTCAGTGACTCTTCTCTGCTTGAGCTCCCTCTGCTCTCAATGTTTGTCATTATTTGTAACGTGTGGCACTTAAATAAGTCATTTATAACACAATAACTTTGATTATTTGGCAAAGGACAGAAGGTAGATGGAGACAACATTTAAACTGATCGGACATACAAAGAGTTTTCCCCAACATGAATAGGAAGTGAGTTGTGTTCGTGTTATTTGGGTTTAGCGAACGAGTTTCTGGAGGTCAGAAGTCTGACGGCTGAATTCTTCTGGCTAAAGCAGCCGGCTGTTTTCTGACTGGACGGCTTCCTGAGAGGACGGAAAGAGCAACAGTAGAATCACTGAGCAGAGTCGTAGAAAAGAGCGTATTTTGTAATTAAAGTGACATCAATTCTTGCAAAATGTGCAAAAATTTTAACTGACAGTTTGTGAATAAAGTTTGTAAAAATCTAAATGATAGAAGCCATTCATCTAAAATAAGGGGAATAATGACTTTTTGGCAATTTTTCCTCTCAAATTAATTTTTTGTTTGTAAAAGGAATCCTAAATTTAACACAAGATTCTTTCCACCAGAGCCCGTTAAAAGTTTTTGAAGTATAATGTTCTGTTTCTACGTACGTTTTTAACTCTACGGTGCTCCTAAAGTAGCTGAACAGACCTGAGCAGGGGCACGTGGGTGCTGCTGGACCCGGCTGCTCCCGTCCTGCAGACGATGGGTTTGTGTTTCAGCATGGGCCGGGGTATGAGGCCGAGATCGCCCGGCCTGTAGCGGGCCAGCTCGAACTGAAAACTCAGAGCCAGGTTCGGGCTCACGCCTCTGAAAAGACAGGATGATGGTAACAAAGCAGCAGTTTGGTTTCACTCTGCTGAATATGACAGAAAGAGATATTTAACAGAATTGTCCCGTTGTGATAATCAGCCTCACTGGGAACATCTGAGACTTTAATTTCATTGTTGTGATTGGATCATCTTGCAAAGAAATCCACCCAAACACCTCTAACAACCTTAGATTGTGTTCTATAAGTAACTCATACTATCGTGTCACAGAGGAGCCACTAACGAGCTTTGAGAAAAAAGCTAAATACTTGTGATTGCACAACAACAGATGTCATCCAGTTACCCGGAGGTCTGCAGCTCATCCAGCTGGTCGCTCTCAGCGGTGGAGGTGGCGAGTGTGGGCCGGTCCAGAACCACCAGCAGCTTCTCCATCAGCTGCTTCCACTGCACGGCAGAGTCCCCCCCCTCCTCCTGCTGCTGGTCTGTAGGTACGTCCTGCAGGGAACAGAGTCCACGTGAGCGATGTCGATCTTAAGCTTTATCGTGACAGTTATATCATTTCAGGTTGCAGGCAGCAACTTTACATTTGGTTTAAACTAAATATTCCGCCTTCTCGTCCAGGCATAGCAGTGCAATAAACCAATAGTTTAGCTCGTCGACTTAAACTTCTCTAATTTGTTCTAAAATAAGATAAAAGTCTGCCGAGATGACAGACCACCTTCTCTTGAGTGTCCAGATGTTCCTGATGTTTAATTTTACCATCAGGGCTTGTCTGAGAGCCACGGCGGCTTCCTGCATGACGCTCTTCATCCTGCTCCTCCTCCTCCTCTCCTCCTGTAGCTCCGCCTCCAGCCGGCTCACCTGCACTCTGTTGTTAGTGCACCGCTCGGACAGCGAGGCCCGTTCCTGTCTGAAAACAATACAGTGAGGCCATATTCAGGTGTGAACCGGCTTCATGACGTCTGCATCCGTTCTCACGACTGATGTGTCTCAAACTATGTATTTACATTCAGGACCATGAGTGAAGCCTCTGTATTCTGACTGGTTTAAGTCTCACACCCACTCTGCTAAATGTGTGGAGACGTTCTTGTTAATTGCTCTTAACACTGAAATGAATGTGACATTGTAGGAAGCCTGAGTCAGCATTATGTGGACCGTACAGACGGAGTAAACTTTGACCTGAGGGCCTCCATCTCAGCCAGGGCTCCCGTGTGTTTGGCCTGAAGCTGCTCCAGTTCTTGCCTTCGGTCTTTCAGCTCCGTCTGCAGCTGCCGACACTTCTCTGTAAGCTGCTCCGCCACCTGATGGAGGGAAGACATCGCGCATGAAAACCCCATCGAGTCTACATCTATCCTAAACCTGCAACGCCCCACTGGACCCGACCCCCTCTCTCCTGGTACCCTTCTTACCTTCTTGCGGACGCAGCTCTTGCGGGACGTCTCGCTGAGCATTTGCTCCAGGATGTCCACATCCACGCTGAGCCGAATCTTGCGGTCCCGCAGGGCCGAGTTCTCCCCCATCAGGGACAGAGTCTGCTCCGACAGCTGGCCGATCCGAGACTTGACCTCGGTGTTCTCCTGGAGGGCCAACCTGGTCGTCTGTGGGACCTTCTGGTCCACCAGGTGCTGCACCTCTGCCGCCATGGTCGCTACGTGGCTCTCCATCTCCTTCTCCAACCTTTGGGGTTAATAATTTAGGCGGAGTATTTTAATAAAACTGCAGGCTTTTGGGAGATAATTAGACATTTGTTTATTTTTAATATGAGCCCTGTACATAACAGCTCTTTACCACACATTATATTTTAATTTCCTCATAGCTAGAATAAGCTACAATAGCAGAAGTCAATCAGCAGTCTGAACCTCTTCTTGTCCAGCAGTGCTTTCATCTCCAGGTTGTGGATGGCAGCTTTGTGTTGCTCCTCCTGACTGACCAGCTGCTTCTCCAGAGACTCCATGTTGGACGTCAGCTGCTCCTTCTGCTTCTGAAACTCCTCCAGACTAGCCAGCCTCGCCGCTTGGAGAAGAGAGGAGAGGAGAGGATTAAACCTTGATGGAGGTTTAACTCAACCAGTGAGTTTGTTTCTGCATCCAAGTTGTGTCAAATGCAGTGTCCAGGTATCCAAACTGTTCATGCTGTGAGAAAAACCATTCTTCCTGTGATACCGGTATTATTTTCTCAATTAAATGAGTATGTCTCAGTTTTATGTGGACAAAAAAACCCATCAAAACCCCAGAAAAGTTCCCATCTCAAAGCCATCTTCATGGGACCTTTAACACTCTGGTTCAACCAATCTCACTGAGCGTCCTGTTTCCTGCGTTGAGTCCTTCGGTCCGGTCTTGGTGCTCTTTCCTCAGCTGACCGAGCTGCAGCAGCAGAGCCTCTCTCTCCTCGTCGGCAGCCCGCCGCTGACTCTCCAGCTGCTCCGTCAGCTCGTCGGCCTCGGCCTCCTTTTCCAGGACGGAGCGCTTCAGAAAGTCCACGACGTCCTTCTTCTCCTTCTCCAGAGAACTGTACTGAGAGCTTAAGTCCTTCTTCTGCCTCTCGTGTTGGTCGCATTTCAGCTGGTACCTGGAGGAGGAAGAGGGTCACGGAGGCCCGACGGTTCAGGAAAGCATCTTTAATGATACTTACAACTATATACATTTACTCAGGTACAATTTTAAAGTACTTGTACTTGAGTATTTCCATTTACTGCTGCTTTATACTTCTATTCCACTAAAATTCAAAGGAAAGTATTCTAATTGTTTTCTCCACTACATGTATGTGTTGCAGATTCAGATTAATAATACAAAATATAATCAACAAATTAATGATGATGTAACTTTATAGATTAAGATAAAACTTTATTGATCTTAAAAGGGAATTATAACGCTATGCAGCAGATAAAATGGTTAAAATTAGCCTTTAAACAGCTGCAACATTGAAATGATGTCCACACTAATGCATCAATAATTATAATACAGTAGTGTATATTACTGTGAAATCAGCTTTTCTGCACAATGAATACTTTAACTTCCGGTACATAAAGTATATGTTGATGCTAAACTGTTTGTGCCTTTACATGCATGATGCATGACTTTAATTTGTATAAAATCTGAATCTGAAAAGTTAAATAAATGTAATTAGTGGAGTAAAAAGTACAATATGTCCCTTTTAAATTGTAGTGTAGCTGAAAACTGATATTCAAGTGAAGTGAAAATACCTCAACATTGTACTTTACTGTACTTCACTGCACAGTGTTTAGTACATGTACTTAAGTACTGTTCACCACTGGTTATACTGTGTTATGACTAGATATCTGCATTATTGTTGTAGCTTATATACACTCTTAAAGAGGCATGCATTAACTTTAACTACCAAAGTGACCTGAACTGATTTTTAAATCCAAGTTTGAAGAACACTAACAAAGTTATCAACGCATTTACTACTATGAACATACTGTCACATAAAGCCCATTAAAGTTAGTTAACTTTAACTTATATATAACATATAACATATACTATAGGATATAGAAGCGTGTGTGTCACCTCTCCACCTGCTCGTTCAGATATCGTATTTGAGTCAGATACAAGTCCTTCTCTCTGTCGTCAGACACGCTTTTAGCTGCACGAGTCGACGAACTTTCCTTCTTTGATGTTTTCTTGACTTCGTCTCGTTTCATGTCGTCACTTTTCTTTTCCTTCTTTTTGGGCATCGCGTGGTCCGAGGAGCAAGTTGGTCTGTCGCTAGGCAATGCTGCATTCAGGGACTCCTCGGAAAGTTTACTTCTTCACATGTTGTACTTTGAGCTTCAAGAGGATGAAAATGTGATCATTGCGTTCATACTTTTATCGTTTTTAAATGTTTTGAAGTTTGCACGAATATGTATTATAGGTATGGTGATTATTCTAATGTTTTATTGCTGGTTTAACATTATTAACATGCTGTAGTTAATTAGATTTTCAAAATCAGATTTTTTTTCTCTGGTATATAAAGTCATCACAACATTCCGTTAGGCCATACAAATTAATATAAATAAATATTATTATTAATAATACAAATTAAAAAAATAATTAAAAATAAATAAATAATAATATATATATTTTTAAAGCAAATGTGTATTCTAAAACAGAGTTACAAAGTACTGTGCAATTAAAACAAATAATACAAGTAAATAAAATCCCAAACATAAGCACAATTAAAACGAGATAAAACAATACACAACAATACCATAATAAATACTGAATTACACTCCAATAAACACACAAACAATGTTTCACAGGCTACATTTTAAATCAGTGTGTAGGTCAACTCATTTATTTGTTGTGTATATTGAGAGTTTCTCAAAAACAATTTAAGGATACGAAATCTCTGCTTATTCTTTTCCACAAAATAGGTAACATAAAATAATCATCTCTTCAAGCATTACATCTGTCACTGTCACACTATGTTATGCTTTTTATTGTTAGACTCTGTTTACAAAGTTTATCTAGAAAAGATAAACCCAGTGGTGTGGCCATGACCTCTGACCTCCTCTGCCCATCTTTTGGTTTCCAACTCAGTGGCTCCCTCCAGTGGTATGAGCCAGTATTGCATGCTGTTGTGTACATTTTTCCTTCATGTCATTAAATGTCAGCTGCTCATCTTTTCATTTGGGACACTGACCTGACTGCTGCTGCTGGATGGCTCAGAGAGCAGTCATAATAATAGAAAGGTTAAATGTGTTCATTACTGCGTTATAATCTATCATTATTACCATATGCTGTAGAGGCAATTAAACTCAGTGTTGTAGCACCAGAACCCTCAGCCAATGAAGTGTAGCAGTTATTTATTCAGCACTGTTTAAATGCCTGCTTTTTAATTGGTAACTTTTCATTTTAATTGGGTGTGTGTGTGTGTGTGTGTGTGTGTGTGTGTGTGTGTGTTTCACCTCACTTCACTCCCTGCCTATAAATCCTCTCGGCTGACTGTGTGAACAGTGTGGAGGTTAATTCACTTCCAGCTCAGTCAAGCCTTGTAAATTAATAAGAGAGAGTATTAATCCACCGCGTAGCATATTCATGAAAAGAAAAAGAGCTACAGTAAATACATTTTAGTGGGGTGATATTCAGATATTACATGTACGTTGAGAGCAATGTGTACATACATGGCCAATAGAGCTGATTCTGAATGATTTGAAGAATTGGGGTGTAATATTTAATTGTGTTTTACTAATAATTTAAGTGTGAAAAGAACCAAACATATCAGAGTGAGAGCAGCGTGAGTGATGCCAACTGTCCTGCCAGTTTTCTCCCCCGCGTCCAGTTCGTTTCCTCCCACCGGTCACAGCAGCATGGGCGGGGAGAAACGGTGACCTTATAGCCGGAGGCCTGGCACCAGTACACGGCTTAAAGTCTGTCTGCTCCTGGGTATAGGTTTAACAGTTAGCACCAGATTTATTTTGTGTTGTTGTTGTTGTTGTTGTAGTTGTAGTAGCTTCTACTTCCAGCGGCCATGAGCACGGACAAGCAGAACAAGCAGGTGCCGGAGTGCCCCGGATCTCTGTCCCCATCCAAAGACCACCAGAAACCCCCGAGGATGCCCAAGTGCTCCCGCTGTAGGAACCACGGCTACGTGTCTCCTCTGAAGGGCCACAAGCGCTTCTGCAACTGGAGGGACTGCCAGTGTCCCAAATGTAAACTGATAGCTGAGAGGCAGAGAGTCATGGCGGCCCAGGTAACCGTTTTTTTATTTTTATTTTTTAAAAACGATTAGCGCGCGCGGCTAACGTTAGCTTGAGCCAAACTCAAAAGTTAAGCTTTTAAACGTGAATATTTTACGTAAAAACAAGTTGTTTCTACGGTGTGAAACGGGAAATACAACACGTAATTGTTTTAGATAACATTTTGATGTATGCTTGTTTTATTTTATTTATTTATTTTATTTGTGTACCAACAAAGACACCTGAAGTGTCAACCTAGCTAGCTTAAAACCTGCATTAACTAGCTGTCGTAAACCTTAAACCGTTAAGCTAATGTGTGCTTTATAGAAATGTTTTTGTATATTGTTACACTCGTTGCTTACCGCAAACAGTTGATACACATATTAATTAAAAGTTATGCTACATATATATATATATATATAGCAGCTACATTATTGTGGTAATTTGCTTTGTAACTGTAGATTGTAGCTTTGAAGTAACAGTTTAGTTTTTTCTTTTCAACGCCATTTTTGGGTAGGCTCATTTATAGCTATGTTTTTTGTGATTAAGTAAATCCATTTATATATTTTAAAACTATGGCATGTGGCAAACACACTGGTGTATAGATAGATAGAAGTAGATATATAAATAGATGGTAGGCCTACTTTATGTATCCCAATGTAAATTTGACAGTAGCACAAGTCACATCAGTCAAAAACAACCAAACAAAAAACAAACATATTTATTTAATAGTGGTTAAATTAGCTGAAAAAAGCATCCAACTGAGGCTTTTATCTACCGTTTTGTTTCATAATTAATTAAGCATTTGGTGTAGAAAAATTCAATTTCCCAGAGACCAATGTTACATATTCAAAAAATCCCAACAAATTCTATATTCGTGAGAGAACTATAAAGTATCACAATTATTTACTTATTATGTATGTATGTATTATTATTATTAAAATGTTTTATCATTATCTTTGCATTATCAAGCAGGTGAGTCTGTCATAAGTCATAAGTAGATCCGGGTAATGTTTTGTTTTTATTTCCTCTCCTCCCCTCCAGGTCGCCCTGAGGCGGCAGCAGGCTCAGGAAGAGGAGCTTGGGATTTGTAGTCCGATGGCTCTGTCCGGTCCCGAGGTGATGGTGAAGAATGAAGCTGCAGCAGATTGCTTGTTCTCTGAGGAGGGAGGAGCTCCTTCACCGACTCCTTCTTTTGCTGTCACAGGTGAGTTATCGTGTACTGTGTCACACTACTAATGTAGCCGATAGCTGATTATACAGCTGCACAGGTCTTTCTATGGGTGTGTGCGCAACAAACAAAACATTTTTTAGTGTCTCTTTAGTCTACTCTTATTGTAAAACAATAAAACACCCAAAAAGTCAAGAATACTTGACTTATTGACTTAAGATATCATCAATAAGAGACATTTTCATGGGAAAATCAGTGAAAATCAAATTTGATTTTGGTGGCAGCGGCATGAAAGGGCCCTTTGCCGTCGGTGGAGGCAGACACAGATATGGTGTTCCATGTCGCCCTGATAGCAAATGTTAGGAGGTAGGAATATGACTGTGGTCAAGGCTGCTCGTGTCTTCTGCTTTGTGTTCATGTGAGGGTGAACCGTAAGTCTCTGGCTTGGCAACAGAGAGGAAAAAACTGAACTGGAAAAAGGAGTCGAGCACTCTGCGATTCGGTGATGACAAGAGGCAGAACAGGGACAACAAATGTCATTATCTTTGGCGTCGGAGGTGCACACAGTGTCTTCATTGTGTAAGGGCGAAGGATCAGGGTCTGCCTGAGAAGAATGTGGCCTTGTTGATAAGGAAAGAACAACGGATAATGAGCAATTGGATGATGATGATGGTGATGGTAATACTCTACCAGAGAGGGCAACCCACATTCCTGCATTGTGTTGGTGTGATGTGGTAGGTCGGCTAATTTTGACGTCAAAAAACCCCTCCCACCTGCAGATGGTGCTGTTGATAGCGATTTGAGCTGTAATGGGACAGCCAGAGAAGTTCAAGTCTCCTTGTCCTGTTTAATGATCCATCAAAAGATCTACTGCAAGCCGAATAATGTCAGGAAATACTCAGCTGGGAAAATAAACACCTAAAAGTCAGCTTGAGCTCTGCTGTTGGGTGCATAATTCATAGTTTTACAAATTTACATATTATTAATCCAAGTTACTAACCATAATTTGTACATAAATGCATGCACGTAATCCTCAAATCCATATTTCAAATGCGATAATGATCTAAAATCCAGCCGCAAACGTCACACTTGAGCCTCTGAATTGATGTCGGGTATCTTATTTGTGTTGTTTTTGTCCAGGCAGCCGGTCAGCTTTGTCTCCCAGCCCGTCAGCTGGTGCCCGGGCTCACAGCGAGGGATCGTCAGACCTGCTGCTGGAGACTTCCTATTACAACTTCTACCAGCCGTCACGCTACCCAGCCTACTACGGCAACCTGTACAACTACCAGCAATACCAGGTGACAAACAACAACCACTCCGCTGTTTGTTAATAACAGTCAAACTCTACCTGAAGCCTTTTTTAAAGGGCTCAAAGTACTGTCGGTATATCACATGCTGGTCCTTTCTGTTGGTTACCTGTAATGTGGTGAGGGTTTTGTGCCACTGCAGGGGAAACGTATGTGTGCCTTAACTACAATTCATAATCTTATTTAAATTGGAAATACTGACTTGGTAACCAAAAAACATTTATGTTTGCTGAAGTACTCAGAATCCTTTCAATACAAAGTGTAAGTAGTAGTGAAAGTAAAAAGGCAGATTGTTAGAAATGTCTCTTAAACATCTGTTCTGTCCCAAAGTGATGTTACATACGAGTCTCTCTGCTCTGTGTTAAAGGTGATGGACTGGTGTCAAGTGTGTGTGTGCACGTATGTGTGTGTGTGTGTTGGAGGGGTAACTTTACATCTGAGCTGCTTCATGCCACAGAAACAGGAGATAAGCTGCTTAGCTACGAATCCCCTCAGCATGAACAAGGCTTACTTTCTATTACCTCATCAGATAACTTGTCACAGTAATATGAAGCGAGTCAACTGTGTGAAGGCACAGTTGGAAGAGACGGACGTAGCACCAAATATTAGTCTCAGAAAATCGTCTGTCACACCAAAATGATTTGTCTCTGGGATGAAAAGTAGTCAACTTCAAACCCCTAAAACAAAGTTCCAGTCCAGTGTGGTCCTATAGCCATGAGCTGAAGTGACCTCAAAATATACTTTAAAGTTACTACAAGGGACTTTCATTGTGTGTTTACTTCGGCTGTCCCTGTGGACTAAAGTGGTAGTATTTCTGAGCACCAGAGTCCTTTTTAGAAAACCTCTCATTTCACTGCAGCAGGGTCTGACAGTCTGCTCCTCTCGGTCCTGGTTCTGGTTCTCTCGAGCCTCCCTTCCCTCCAGCGGGCCCAGCAGTACGGCCTGGGTGTCCTACCGGGTGACACCGATGACGAGCATTAAGAATAACTATATAGAAATAGAAACTGAGCCTGTTTCATAACCAGTTAGATCTGCAACATAAATCAGCACATTTAGGAAGCCGGAGCCAGAAAGTATTTTGCATTTCTGCTTGATAAACTATTGATCAATTATCAAAATGTATTCTTTTTCTTGTCACATGAATTAATTAACTAAATAAAAGTCATGTGTCCTGGTATATAACAGACTTACAGAACACAAAGAGAAAGCAAATTTTATTTTGAATAAAAAAAGGGAGGAGGCGTCACTTTGATGTGACAGTGATGTAACTGGTGCATGTGTAGTCAACCTTGTGGGCACTAGAAGTTAATTTTCTTTTACGTGTGGAAGTGATTCATATCATTTTTTTTTTTATTTCTTTGTTTTCCTTCGAGATGGATGAGAGTGTCTGCTTTAATGTCGGCACTTACGGTACAACGTAGGACACATCGGGGAGACGGTGCCCAGCGTTCACCCGCCTCATTCACCCATCTGTGTGTTCACACTGATTCATGCGTGAATGTATCTCTATTGTGTCAAACTGGGATGAGCTTGTGCGTGATTAGAGCTATAACTCTCAGATGAGGTGGGTTGTTTTTTTATGAACAACATTTGTCGACCTCTGCTCTCTCCTCTCCACTCGCTCTCTCGGTTTCCCCTCAATAGCAACATCTAGTTTTGGGGTCACTGCCTCCGCTAACCTGCCAGCGCACAGCACGAGAGCCTGAATTGCAAAGGTTAATGGTATTGTCTGTCGGCGGAGGAGCAGGCCGCTATGCCTCGGCGCTCGAAGGAGAAAGTGAGCACATTAATGCTAATCAGTTAGCACTCTTTAGCATAATTTAGCCATCCTCCTTTGTGATTTATGATATTTTTAGTGAAGTTGAGAGGGCGACGTGCTACGGTTATTCAAATTCAGGGACTACTTTATTTGATTTTTTTTTGCATGAAGAGCTCATTATTTGAAGATGAGTTTCAAAAATTGTGCCACAAACACACAGTTGCACAATTTTTAACTAGAAAGTGAAGTTGTTTTTATTGCCTTATCTACTGGCTAAAAGAAAAAGATTTCCTCCTGTGTCTCCTTTACCCGTCCTAAACCTCCACAATTTAAAGGCTTATATCCACTATTTGCATCCCCAACTGAGGTGATTATCCTTGAGTTACTCAATTTAGATTTTGTCTCCATATTTGCTGTTGAAGCACTTATCGCTGTGGTCTCTCTGCTCCATCCGGAGAGCTGTGACGTCTTTTCTCTTTGACTTTCTGTTCACTGAGTTAGTTTCTGAAGGTGTCGCTCTAATCTCCGCCATAACATCTGGTGAAACTGTAATTTTCATATTTTTAACAAGTATACAATTAATACAAATTTTGTTATTAAAATAGCAATTCTCACCTTCATTATTTTGAGTTATGTTGCTCTAGAGCCTCATGCTGGTTTCACACAAGTGTTGATGATAGAGAGAACCGTAGTGGATGTTTATTTATCTTAATAGTTATAGCTATTTATCTGCCGTTATCTATTATTTTGCAAGTACATCTGCAACTCACTGCCATATTCTTAACACTGAATTCCTAATGTATTGCTAGTTAGTTTGCTCATTTATTGACCTAAATACCACAATACGAAGAGCTAATACAAATAGAACAAATGTACAGAATGAAATAAAAACATTCGGTCCAAAAAATATTCCACACAAAGTACAACATTACACTGACTTCTTGCAAGATCTCAATTCATTTGTTTATTTTGCAATTACAGTCGATGGTTTGCAGCAGATTTAGGTTCGTAGTTTGTTGTCTTCTGTCAACCTCTTTGAATAAACATTTCCTTAAAATCATGACCAATCATTCTAATCTCAACGATAGTGATTATCCTAATAAGGTGATCTGTAGGTGTTGGGCTCTTCACGCTACTAAATCAAAAACCCCACAAGGAAACAGTGTGATCTTTATCAGCGTAAGGCCATCTACCTCCTCTCCTCTCCTGTGCACTCAGTGGTGCTTGGCTGTCATGCAGGTGGTTGATGATAGTATAAGGGTGGTGTAGAGCTTCCAGACAGGAGATGGTGCCAGATAAGAAGACCGGCCCCTCTCAGGGAGGTAAGGAAGCCCCCCCAGGAGTCTGCAGGCTAGCCAGTGAGTGTGGAGGAAGGACTGTGGATGTGTGGCAGCGTTTACCTCAAGGCCATTTGTTTACCTTACTCATGTTCTGTGCCATGAACATGCATTTAGAAACGGAGGTCTGAGGGTCTTCATTTTTCAAGTCATCCATGAATCTCACAGCCGGACTGTTGCTTGTGCAGAACGCCTCTCAGAATTTATCTCAAGCTAAAATAAAATCCTAAAGATGCAGATATGCCGTCAGACGTGCTGTTTCTGCCTTAACCACCTCCTCTCTGATATTCTGTGTAACACTACACAGAATATGAGGCTCAGCTTGGTTGTGGGGTCACTGTTCAGTGGGATTTTTGGAAACGTAAGATTGAATTTCCTTTTTAAAACAACTGAACGGTGACTCACAGGCAGCTCATGGGGTAGAAATGAAGACGCTTAATCAATTGTATGAGGTCGAGAAGTAATCTAAAAGAACACAAAAGGCAATATGTCAACAACAGTATGCGCACACACACGAAACAACATTACTGTAGAGCTCAAGTACTGAGAGGGTGTTATGTGTGTTCTGTAGCATATCTGACGTGATGAACACTCCCAGGAAACTGGTATTGGTTTGGCCTTTGGCTGTTGGGAGGATGGTAGTAATAGACTCACTTTAGAGGTATTTCCACATAATGTTACCTAACATGTTCAGTGTTGATATAATTTACTGGAAAACCCATGACCCACCTGAATAGTGGGTAGTACTGTATGAGAGGGTCTTGAAGCTTTGACTTCTCAGGTGCATTCCCGGGAACCGTTAACCTCATTGATATATTTAGGCTTTATGTGTCAACAGTGGTGGAAGAAGTACTCAAATCTTTGACTTTTTATCGTGTGGCTGTGGCTCAAGGGGTAGAGCGGGCCGTCCTATAATCACAAGGTTGTCGGTTTGATCCCCGGCTCCTACTGTCTGTGTGAGGAAGTGTCTTTGAGCGAGACACACTGAAACCCAAGTTGCATCCCAGGTGCTTCACAAAGACTCATTTCAAACCAAATCCAAAGTCGCGTACTGAGTAAAACATCGTCTACAGCCCCACCGGACAGACGTACGGCGTCGGGAACAAAAATGGGCTGTCATATCACAGCTGAGGACAAATCGCGCCACATCTGGGATGCCTCTTGACGTCCCAACGTTGACCACTAGAAGCACAAAGCACTCTTAACGTGCACAGCTGTAAACATGGCGAAGCGAAAGAGGGCCGATGTTGCTGGTGCTGCTCGGTGGAACCGTGAACTCCGCCAAAGGAGGTTAAGTTTTCAGTTTGGTTTGTTTGTTTGTCAGCGGGATTACAGAAAACCTAACGGCCCGATGTTCATGAAACCTGGTGGAGGGGTGTATCATGGGCCAAGAAATCATGTCTGTGAACCTTTTTCAATAAGCAAACTTTCACTGGGACAGTTTTGTTTGTCTATATGTGTCCTGCAAACCGTAAGCTTATCGTGCACTTTCAAGACTCCAGTCCAATCTCTATTGTATTTTTCACGGCCTAATACAAGAGCAGAGTGTAGCTTAAATAACAGTTTATAAAGCTGTCGCGGAATTGATGGTGTGGACAATACGGGTGACATATTACAGGCTGACAGAAATCAAATTCCATAAAAGTGAAATTGAAAAGCCTCCGCGAGGCGGCCTTGCTGCTGAGTAGACGGCTCGTTTTAAAGTTTTCAGAGGGCTGGAGAAAGCCAGCGCTGCGTGTTGCAGCCCATTTTTCGAACAAGCCTCGGACATGTGAACTCGGAACCGCTGATATTATTTCATCTCTGTCTTTTTTCTTCCTGGCAGGTTAGGCTGTAACGTGTTGCCTGTGAATATCTGATGGCTGATTTGGAGGATTGTGCAGTCAAACACATGTGAACAATAGTATTTATATTGTATTAGAAAATTCTGGGGGTTATGTAGTTTGTTTATAAAATAAATACCCGTATGCTGCAATCTAAACTAAAATGGTAAACATCCTCTTCTTTCAGCTTCAAAAAGTGGAAGATTTGTTGCTTTTCTTTGTCATTTGTGATATTAAATTGAATATTTGGAGATTTTGGACTGTTGATCAGATCAAACAACACATTTGATGACTTCACCTTGTGTTTTAGGAAATATTTCGCAATTTTCTGATATTTTTAATGCTTAACAATTGTTTAATTGGTTGAGAAAAGCAGATTAATTGATAAAATAAGTGTTAGTTGCAGCCCTATTGTAGTTTCATTCTTGAAATAACCAAACATAGAGTCACCAAAACCCAACAAGAGTCTTTGTTGGATGTAAGAAGCTCTCCTGGACCTGTACTACGAAGCGAGTTCAACATACCCGGGGTATCTTTTGGTTATCTAGTTTAACTAACCGTATCAGCCGCGATCCGTGCTAAGCGGTTCCACGAAGCTGGTTATCAACTTGGTACGTCAACCCAGGGTTTCTCCATCTGGTTATGAGCGCGTTCACATAAAGGTGCAGCATAGAATGAGTGAGAAGAGAACCTCCATCCCAGAGTTAACCCTGAAGTTACGTGTTTTTGTGTCGTCTTGTATGAAGCAGATGCCTCATGTTGATGGCCGCCTGTCCAGCCACAACATGTCCTCTCAGTACCGCATGCATTCCTACTACCCAGCAGCCACCTACCTGACTCAAGGCCTGGGCTCCAGCACCTGCGCGCCGCCCCTCTTCAGCCTGGACGACAACAACAACAACAACATCAACTGCTCTGAGACCATGGCAGCCTGTGAGTGACACACGGAGACACTCACACACACTTCTCAAGCCCCATAAAGTTTTATCCAGACTTTATCTACAGTGTGGTTAAGTACATTCAAGGGAGGATTGCACTCAAGTTTAGAGCGCCATAAAAGTTGTAAGATGAAATTCATCTAAAGTGAAGCTTTTTCACTTTTACTATACTTACTTTTTTTACTTTACTTCAAATGCACAACTGTGTGCAGCAGGTCTGAAAGTTGAAAGTTGATACCCACTTCTTATTTACAGTTATTCATGGTATTTAAAAAAATACATCTTTTGTCTTTAATTTGAAGTCGTCACCGAAAAAGTAATCAATTTTAAAACAACCACAAAACTGTCCTGACAGTGCAGCTCTGTTTGTTGTTGTTTGAAGATGACGCAGATCTGATATCTGATCTCTGGCTCTCTACGGCCAACGACCTGAGATTGAGATCTCTGCTGAGCACGGCTGCCTGGATTCTCAGTCGCTATGAATGGGGGTAAATCAGATTGTGTGCGTTGCTTAATACGTTCAATAAAGTATTCGTGGAACTCTGCAAGGAATGTGCGTAACTGCGCGATGAGAGTGAGATAAGAGGGACGATCCTGCACGATGCAGAGACACATACTACAGTAAGTGTGATATGTCAAAGCCTGGCTGTGTGGTTGCAGAATGCAACCAGCTGAATACCCCTCAGCTCACTTCTCTCTTTCCAAGGCTGTAATGTGAGCCGCCGTTGGCCTCGCTCAGAGGCCATCCTGACCACAGTAACACTACTTTAGGAGCAACAGAAGTCAGGCGGATGGCGATGCCACGGTTGGTTTTTCACTCTGTGGCTCACGTTACCGCAGTTTGACAAGCGTGTCGGAGACCTACGGTGGCCTTCAGGTGACACAAAAGCATGAAAGGCTCAGGGTTTGGTTTGTCCGTTCTTGGCTACTGTAGAAACATGGCGGAACACTATGCTGGTCTTTTTTTTTACTTAAACTCCAGTCGTCCTACCCTCCCGACACATTCAGGTGTGCTGAGATATGTTTAAGTTATGCGGAGCTTTAAATGTGTAAAATCAGGCTCGGCTCTTCTTATTATTAACCAACTCTGTCCGGTGTTACCTGGTTTGTCTTGAACAGGTTGTGATTGACAGAAGACAGGTCCTGTTAGTTGTCGCTTTTTATTTTCTATTTTATTTAGAATTAAATAAGAGTGAAGAATCCTAAAAGGATTTGTTCTACTAATTTATTATCTTTTAATGATGTTTCTTTAAAAACTATAATAAAAATACCATCCAGCATAAAACGAGGAACAAAAAGGTAATTTTCCTTTCATGAATTAAAAGATGAAGGTGATCAGTTAAAGAGCAGTGGTTTTGTATATTATTACTCATTTGTGAAGGACGTAGGGGAAGAGCGTCACGAGCACAACATCAACATCCTTCTTTTGGTGAAATAAACTGCTGACGCCACCAGCATCACAAGACCCCCACATCTTTCCTTTTGCCTGCATTTGTTTATGACTTTCACCTGTACGTTTCCCGTGAGGGTCCCGAGCCAGCGCCCCGCCATGAGTCTCCACGCTCCATTACAAGATGACACTCTCCGCGGGTGGTCCCACAACCGACTCCAAAACCAGAGAAACAAAACACCTAAATCAGTGTTTTTCTTCTGGCTTGTGACCCTTTAAAAGGACACAATATTTACTTGCAGCACCTCGTCACAAGTTGCAAAAATTTTTGTTAAGTGAAGTTTTATTCTAAATATATATCTTTTATCTTTTATTATCCTGAAGTGTTTATACAATACATAAAGAAAAATCAACAGAGATACTCACTAGTGATAAAACCTCCAAAATGCTACTGAGTGACTGATGGTTAAAGTTTTCCAGTCTTTGGGAATCAGTTTTTGTTCCCATTATCATAATGATTGTACATCATAAGACTGTGATAAAGAGTCTTAAAATTAAGTCTTTGTGGTGGATTGTCCCTCTTACATCTATATTGTAAGACAGGTCAAAAAACATTATAACAAAATTAATCTTAACATTGGACACAAGAGTCTTCTTCTTTGATTTTGCATCAATTACAACTTGGAGAACTGCGGGATAACACTTACAGAAATAATACTTTTGAATAATCCATCTTTGGCATAATTAGAATATTTTTGAGGCCTTGAGGGGTAAATTTATCGAGTATTTCATAAGAAAAAGGCAAATAATTCAGACACGGTGGAGGAAATAGTCTGTTTTGCAGTAGAAATGTTTCTTCTTTCTAATTCTGTTTTGTTTTACCTTCATGAATATCTGTACTGTGTCTAACACTGTAGTAATGTAATCAGAAGTAGGCCCTGCCACAGAATGGCATTCCCATAAAACAATTAGTTTTCAGTATCTTTTGTCAGACAGTGAGAGGAAGTTTTTATTGAGTCAGTCTAAACATTTGGTGTCTAATTGGTGCAACCACTGTCTATTTCAGTGTGTGTGTGTGTGTGTGTGTGTGTGTGTGTGTGTGTGTGTGTGTGTGTGTGTGTGTGTGTGTGTGTGTGGGTGTGTGTTTGTGTGTCGTATCTAAACAGGAGGCTTCCACCGACTGAAGAAAAACCCTGTTGTTTTATAAGAGCCTCTGTGTCTCAGATGTCTTTTCCTTGTCTGAACAGTTGTGTGTGTGTGTGTGTGTGTGTGTGTGTGTGCGCGTGCCAGGAGTCCTGGACTGTGTCCTTGATATTGTTCCAACTCATATCTTATCAGCCGAGTCCAAATCACTCTGCAGGGTTATAAGCATGTTGTTCTTGTAGAGCTTCACATAATGAACTCCTTATCTTTTTTATTGCAAAAAGGCACAGTAGCTTTTTAACTTTTTTATTTTGCTACTACTGAGTTATTATAATCTGAATTACTATAATGCAGTGTCACTTATCCGGAGTGACATGGGGATTTATTTTCATATGCAGCTGAAACGATCAAAAGTTCCCAGAGCACACGGGGACGTCTTGAAATTTAAACAGTTTGATACCCTAAAAAATATTCAGTTGCCATCAAGAAAGACTGAAACCTGCAAATATTAACGCTTGAGAAGCTGTAACAATTCAATTTTTGTCATTCTTGTGATTAATCGATCATCAAAATAGTTTCTGGTTAATATTCTGTTGATCGACTAATTGATTAAGCGACTAATTGCCTAATTTTGGAATGTTGGTTGAATAAAAGAAGTAATTTTAAAGACAAAATGACAAATCAGTTAAATCACAGATTAATGAGCAGATTTATTGACAATAATTCCAAAGTCACTAAAACAGTTAAAGTAAGGAGAGTAATGTTGTTTTAATTTAACATTTGCTTCAGCCACATCTCCTTTTAATCCGTGGATTCTTTCGCTCTGGCCGAACACGTCGTGAACCTCCGGATCATCCGAGAGGAGGAACTACCCGTGAGCTGTGAGCCTACCTGCCCTCCTCCTCTTCTACCTGGCTGCCAAACAGCGGCCCGTCAGATTTATCTCCCTCCCAGGATACGGCTAATCAGTTGGCCAAATACAGAGATCCAAATAACCTTCAGGAGTGCCACGCTGTCCTTTCTCCTCCTCCTCCTCCTCCCCAGCCCCCCCCCCGCTGTCTCCGCAAAATTGCCTTCTGGAGTTAGTGAGCGGGAACAGTTAAGATTTACAAACAATGATGAAGCTTGTCATGCGTCTTTCTCCATCCGTCACGGCGGGCCGGGCGGAGCTGTGGGTAGAGCCGTCCCGGTGTTCTTCATAAAAGCCAGCTCTCTGTGAAATACGCCCCCCCGACCGGCCTGTTTACTGCCCCGCGCCCGTCAGCAGCACCGCCGCCGTAAATCGCAGAGCGGTAGGTGACAGCGCAGTCCATCAAACTCACCCCCACCACCAGCACCTCCTCCTCCTCCCTCCATATATACACACACAGAGACACACACACTGTTTCTCCACAAACACTCACTTGTTCACCATGAGGCTCAGATGAGCTGCCTTAAAAGAGTTATGGCTGTTTCAGTCTTACGGGAGAGACGGCAGCTTCAAGCTGGGAGTCTGTCGGTGTTTACGTTCTCTCTTTCTTGTCCTTGTCGAGATTCAAAATTCAAAACTGCTCAAAGTTTGTACAGCACAGCAACTTTCCTTTCACGTAGTTCTTCTTCTTTCTTTCTTCTTCAATATTTGTTCTAATATCAGACCTCCGCTGCTCCGGCTCTACGTTTGTCTGTTTTGTTATATTGGTGTCAGCACGGAGCGCACAGTCATTTAAATGCAAATCAGATCGTTGAGGTATTGCAGATGTTAATCCTGCTAATCGATAGACCTGTGTGAGCCCATTAAGTTAGAAATCCATTACTATCTTTCTAGATGATATTCTATTGATTTCTTTTCTTGCTTCAATCTATACTGTACTGTACACCAGAGTGAGTAACTGCGTATGAAGTCTGTCGTTTCGGGTTCTCCGCCTCCTCTGGAAAAAAGAAAAGGAGTAAAAAAAATCAACAAAGTTTCTTTGTTTCTTGAGTAAAATGGAATTTACCTGCTTTCAGATCAGATTACTTCAAACTCACACCCACACACACTCTCTCTCTCTCTCTCACACACACACACACACGTTAACATTTAAGGAAGTCCCTCTACACACATAAACACACTGCATGTATTTGAACACCCACACATACACACTCGAGGCCACACTCATTCTGGTGATGTCAAAAAGGACTCTCACTCTTTCGGATTTATTAAACCCGAAACGAATCGGTACTTCCAACTCAAGAGGTGACCTTTTGTAAGGAAGTGCTGTTTCATGTCGTGTAGCAGCAAGAGTTCATTTCCTTTGGTCTCTGACAGGCTGAGAACATCACTCAGCTCACTGCATCTACTCTGTGTTGTGAGGAAAGCAAAGCAGAGAAGACTGTGGGTTTGTGGTGTGATGTTTTCTCAGCAATCTCTGCAATTACTACTGTATCAGCAAGTGTATTACTACTCATAGCATTACGTTGTGGCATCTCTAGTAGGATGGCAAAGTTTAGATTCAAACACGTTAATGTGACTTATATAGAGACAATGATTATATATCCTAGTCGTCAAAAACAAGTCATTTTTCAACCAAATCTAGTCGGGTTTTAACTCCTAAACAATCCCTGTGTTCATTGGGATTCATGCATATGAACAATATCTTTGAGATTGCTTTAATGAGATTTCTGCTCAGTGTTGACTTTGGCCAGGACACAGAAAAGATGCAT